TGGTTTGATCGTCCTTTGTTCAAAAATCCAAAATCTGTAATACTCCAAAAGTCAGAACTTTTTTGTGTGCCATTAAGGAACCATAACTAGAAAATTCCACATTGTAAAACTTGTGCTTCATGCATGAGGTTCTTTAAAATATTATATAAGGTCACCTTCAAACTATATGTATATGGAACATGAGTAAATTTCATGTTAAGACTTTAGTCCCATTCTCAAGATAAATCTTACCTCAAATTCCCAAAATAATCTCATTATATGTATCATATGATTATTTTCCAAAATCCAAAATAAAGTCCAAAATCTGAAACAATTCCAGTTCCACACCATTCAGATAAAAGATACTCAACCTACATAAAATGATTTTTTAACCAAACAAAGTCATCATTGAGTGTCTAGAAAGTTTGCTACCATGTTATATGATTTATAGTCTCCAAAGCACTGACAATGATATTTTTATGCATTGCTATCTTTTTTCATAGATTCATGAAGAATCAGCCTTTTCTGTTAATTAAAAGTCTTCATTCTAGGGTGGAAGAAAGGTAAAGGAAAGAAGAGAAAAAGGGAGGGAAAAAAGAATTATACTACTGGTTTCTCTTGTTTCATTAACTATTATTATTCTCCTATTTTGTTTTGAAATTGTTTTAAGTTTTATTTAATACATATTTAATGCCTCATTTTGCCCCATTAGTAAACATGAAGACCTCATTTCATCCCAAAGAATAAAGTTCATCCAGTGAACTCGATGGACATGTTACCATCCTCCACTTTCATGTCATTGTCAGACAGCTATGACAGATGATCAGCTTTACTCTAGATTGAGCTCCCAGTAGCCTTACTTTTCCATCAGAGTTGCTGCCTATAGTGAATCCAGTTTACCGTTTCTGCTGAGTGTCAGTGCTCTCTCCCTTGCATAAAAAACGCTGGAAACCATTTGCCTCCTATGAGGAGGCATTTGCCTCCTATTTGCCTCCATTTGCCTCTGAAATGCAAACATTGGCTTTAGGAAATACCAGTGAGTGTTTTGGGAGCACAGCAGCAGGAGGAAAAAAGGCCAGCAGACTGTAGAATGTATCATGTTCTTTCATTACAGAGTTAGATGCCCCCAGTAGACATACACAGAAAAACACACATGAGAAATAAAATAAGAAGCACACCTGATCTTCAGACAATATCTTACTGATTTGTATCAGGTTGTATTGCAAGTTCTATAGTTGTTTCTGGGCAGAATGTACCTATATGTGAAGACACTGCCATGAGATTATAAGACTTTTTGGTTATATTGGCCTTATGGTCTCCCTGATGGCACCAATTGCAGTTTAATGGAATGTTTGTCTCATCAGCATGACACAGCAGAATTCTTTGAACATGATTGTGTTTGATAGCATATAAGAAAAATTGCTAATTGCTTCCCTTGTTAACACTTTGAAGTTTTAGCACTAGAACTAAAACTTGCTGCTACCAGATTTTGCTGTAATATGCAAAAAGAGAAAGGAAAGAAGCCCTTAATTAACTTTCTTGGGCTGGTGCGATAGCCCAGCAGACTAATGTGCCTGCTTAGGCAAGCTTAGCCAGCCTGGGGACCACAGTTCAATCCGTAGCACCACATGTCATGCCAGCCAACACCCTCCCTCCCCGAAGGGTGGGCTGAGCAGACCCGTAATGGTACATGCCTATAATTGCAGTGCTGCGGAGGCTGAAAGCAGGAAAATCACAAGTCCGAGCTGCATGGTGAGACACTGCAATAACCAAATACATTTTAAAGAAAAAGAAATTAATTTTCCTGAAGAGTTTTATTTCAACGTGGCATTTAGAACTAAAAAATGTTTACCCAGTCTTTTGAGGCCTCTCAGTACTAAGCAACAACACAAATAATGATAATATTCATGATCACTAAGACCTTTCCTTCATTTTTGTCTTGATTTCTGTTATATTTCAGGAAAGATTTGTCTGCTAAATCAGACTAATACTCTGGAGAATATAAAATGTTACCATGAGAAATAATATGCAAAAGACCAGGCATGGTGGTGCATGTCTGTAATCCCAGCACTGGGGAGCCTGAAAACAGAAGGATCACTACGAGTCAGAACAGTATAATGAGACCCTGTACAAAAAAAAAAAAAAAAAAGAGAAAACATACAGAGGGATCCACTGTTTATAAATAGTTATCAAAACAACACTTAAGGTCATTTCCTTTCATAAGTATGTACAAATTGAATCTTCACTTAAAAGTAAAGGCATTGTTGAAAGAAGACTGAAGTGCTGGTTAGTTGGCTTTCCACCCCAAAACTTGTTTCAGATCATGTACTAGGTAATGAGCTGTCAAGCAAATTTTTTACTTACTAGGGCTTGGACCTACACTCTAATACTATGTCAGAATTTGACAGTTTGTGTATTCCTTAACAGTGCTCAAACCTGGGTTTGAAACTTCATTACTCTAGTAAATCTAGACTAAAGGGAATCTAAAATGAAAAGCTACAGTTTTTTTACTTTTCCCTAGTGCCGGATTGGCCAGTAACACCCATCCCAGGATATCTTAGTTCAGGGCCCAGCTGCCAAGTTTGTTCCAAAAAAATGAGAAAGATCTTTTCCACTTCATCTAAAATAGAAGCAGGGAATGTATCCGTGCATGTAGTGTACTTTGTGAGATATGGAGTTCTTTGAGATTGAATGCTGAAATTAGAAAAACCCACCACAGTAGACAAATTAATCAGCTTATACCTCTGTGATGTGGGATGGGGTAGAGTGAAATGGGGTAGAGGGATGAGTGGTAAGGGGATCAAGTTTTAACCATATGCAACATTGTGGTATAAACTGTCTATATTCAGAGTGTTTTCATCTGTTCTGTCATTAAGGGGAAGGTCAATTTTTGTCCTGTAGTGCAGAGGAAAGATGCTTTGGGACATGATGTAACAATGCCATGATGTGGAAGGAGATTGTGGTCCAGTTGAAGTACATTCACAGGCACTTGGGGAGGAGGGTAGAAGCAGCTTGCAAGTAACTTACATTCCCTTGCAAAGAATGAGTCTTCTTCATTGGAAGGGAGAGACTGATCAAAGCTGAAGTATTTTAGTAATAGTGAAAACATTCCAAGAAATTTTGGGGAGAACTCATCCATACTTGTATAAGTTAAACACTTTCGTTCTAATTCTTTCTCATAGAACTTTAAAGTGTAATTCTCATAGTCATCTATGTATCATTTCGTGATCTACTCTTTTTCCTAATCTTGTAATTTTCTATGTTCCTATAGAAGGTTCTGTTTGAGACAGTAATGTAATTAGACTTGTTTTAGAAAGATAACCCTGGCAGTGGTACAGAAGATAGAACTGTTGTGAAAAGATTCAAGATGAGGTTAAGAAGACTGTATTTAAGAGGGGCTTGGATAGGGGGAGAGAATTCTGGCTTAGACATAAAAGTGCTGTCCTGAACCAGCTTCCATCATGAGCTGAGAACAAGTTTCTCCCCCTACCTGAATAGAAATGCTGCCTGATTCCACTTGGAAAGTCTTCCTTGCTCTTCAGCATTTCACCCTATCTCAGAAATCTGACTTCCTTTTGAAATAGTCTGGGGCCTAGGAAACTGCAGAGATTACCCTAATATTGGTTAATGTACACAAAAAAACAATTTTATCTGTCCTCTGCAGCACCTGAGTGTAGTTCACAGGGAATATTGTTAGTGCTGTGCTTACCTTTTGGTACTTAGCCAGTTACCCCAGTGATTAGGAATGTGTGTGTGGTAATGATAAAGAATCTGGAATTTCTTCGGTAACTAAAACTTTATAGCAATACATATTAATTCAAAAACTTGCTACATAAAATTATTTTCAGTATTATGTATTGGGACAGGATCTCTGGACTGTTATGAGACAGTCACTCCTGCCCCCAGTCTTCCTGAGTATACATAGGACAATTTATTTAATCTCTTCAGTGCCTACTTTCTTTAACTTGAAAATTGTAGTAATTTTTAACTTCTGAAATCTCCTTATTACCATTTCAGGGAATTATTTTTGAGCTGGTTATAAAGAAAGTAATTTGGATTTTTCGCAGTTAGTAAAATAATATACTATAAATTGCAACTAGGAGCATAGAGGGCATCCTTAAATATGATCGGTGAAGCCTATGAAATGGTTACCACTGTAAACAGCTTTCATTCAAACCTTTAATTTGACTTTAAGGTTGTTTTAGTGAATATTTAAAGAGTTATTCTAATCTCACTTTATTTAACAGATTGGTAGAATTAAATTAGATCAAGAACATAGGGATAGCAAAGTAGGATTTGGAGAGGAAATCAAAGATCTCTTCCTTTTCCACTCTTCCTCCTCCCCCTTCCCTTCCTCTCATTTTCTTCCTTCTCTTCCTTCTGCTCAAGGAAATAGCAACTTTTAATGTAATAGAGTACAGTCATAATAAGTCATAGGTGGCAATTTATCTGGTATATTTTAGTATATTACTTTAATGAAAACTTACTTTCTATTTAAAAATAAAAACTTCATAGCCATTCCTGTCATGAAAAATTCCTATTCACATATTTATAAACGATTATAAAATTTTTCTGTATTTATTTAAACATAAATACATACTTGGCAGTTTCCAGAAAAGGATAGCAGGTAACTCCTTACCTGTACTTAATTTGCTACTTTATATTAAAGCAGATTTACTTTTCATTAATGTCACAGAACATTTTAAATAATCAAGCTTAAGAAAACCTTAACATGAAGTTTCTTTTAGATGCCCCATTGTAATGAAAGCAGGACAATAAAAAGGCCAGGAAAAGCCTTAATTCTTCATGGAGAGAAACAGTGCCAGATTTGAGCCTTCGTGAAATTTGCATACCGCTTTACATATATATGTGTACAGTTCCTTTGGTGACTTCCTGTATTTCGTTTTAATTTTTTAGTAAACTAGGTTTTTTAAAGGTGGATTTATGTTATATTGGCATATATTCTCTTTAAAAGAAACCACTACTGTCTACTGAAAAAAAACACTATTTTGTTTCCACAGAAACCTGCTAATATTTTAGTTATGGGTGAAGGTCCTGAGCGAGGAAGAGTAAAAATTGGTATGTTATATCTTTGATAAGTCACAGCGTAGCACTCTTAAAACTTTGCAGGCAGACATATTATGTCTAATTTTTGCTGTAATAGTATGCATATATTCATATAGTTCCATATGATACAATCATTTCTAAAAAGTATACATAAAAGTGAAAATTGTTCCACACTCTTCAAAGGTGTCAGACATTCTTTGGCGACAGAAGTTCTAATTATAAAACAAGCTGTGCAAGTTTCCTAGAAACCTCTGCCTTCATTAAACACAGCCTATTTAGGTGAGTGGCTTCTATCCCTGTTAGAGGCCAGCCTCACCTTGACTTACAAGGGCATACAGTATGCTGATAATTCTGCCATCAGTTGTGTTCACCTGAACCTCATTGGATGAAAACATGTACCTCTTTTGACTTCATTTAGATTGAGAGTTCCAAACTTTATGGCCAGATAGGTACAGAACCTTAAGTTCTGATAGACTGTGATAGTTGTAAATGGGAGAAAAGTTAATGGGCATTATATACCTTAGCATGTTTTCTGATAGCAGTTTTCCTATATAGCAAGGAAAAAATTTATTCACTTCTTGTTTAATAATCCGTAAGGCTGAAACTAAATTTATTTATCCTATTTTCCTTATTGTCAGTTGTGTTGGTTACTTACATTTAGTTTGTCTTTTTGTGTGTGTAGAAGAAATTATTAACTTATATTCATCTGAAGGCAGCAGGATTATGAGAGCATATAATGAAGTTAATAGTAATTTCTGACTGCAAGGTTTAATATGTATTAAAAGTATCAGCTGACCTGTACTACTTTACCAACAAAGAAAAACTTGGGTGTTCTTAACCCTTCTTCCCTATTCTTCCTTATAAATCCCCAAGAGCTCACCTTGCACTTCCAATTATACTCTTGAAATACTATTTCATGATACAAATTTTTAATTGTGAGATAATATGATATAGTTTGGTATACGCCAAGCCATTGGCCTTGTTTGAGAACCAGGCCCAGTTAGTATTCATCCTGTGTCATCAAATGTCTTAAGTCCTCAGTGGTCTTTTAAAAGAGCCTATCTGGTCTGATTTGCCGGCATCAAATTCAAATGCAAATTCAAGGTATAGAAAAGAGAGAGTAGACACAAATGTGATCTTCACTGTATGATTTGGGAAAACTTTAAAATAGTTTGGGATTATGTATCTATGTAAAGTATATGAATGATGTTAGCCAATTTGGGCAGTATTAAAGCTTTCATATTTAAGTTCTTCTGTAAACCAGTATTTAGTGATCTGACTCATTTTAATTCTTTACCAATTTTTAAAATTCCTGTACCCTCCATAATTAAGCTGATTAAAGGAGAAGTTACTTCACTTAAAAAAATACCCATACAGAAGAATAAAATGGAATATGCCCAATAATGGATGACTCTTAAAAATCTTCATAGCTGGTATGAATTGTGGTCATTTAACATATATTAGGCAAAAGTATATATAATGACCCTGTATGTGGTACTGTTAACAGTAGAGAAATGAAAAAGATAGTTTTTGTTTTTAAGAAGATTTTGATTTAGTAGGATAAAGAATAGTACTCAAATAGCTATGTTACATTTTAAACTCTTCTTGTATGCCACAAACTGTTTCTGTGCTCAGGGCCAGCTCTGAGTTTGAGTTTGTGTCTTCTTGAACCTCAGTTTCCTCATGTGAAAATGGATATGGTTGAATTAGATGACTTTTAAAGTTTTTGGCTTATAGAAATAGTATGATCTTTAAAACTAAGTTAGTAAAATTCCACCAAAGAAGTGGGGGGAAATTGAGATGTTAAATTACCACATAGTCATCTCTTGATTATACCAGTGAACAGGCTTATTGATGCAAATAATGGAAAGCTTTGCTCTACAGTGCACAGGACAGGTACAAAGAATGGAAATGCAGTCCAGCAACTCTGTCCCCAGTGATGATGTAACAGATGAAAAGAAATCTGCCCAGAGGAGTAGGGTCACATGTGACCTCTGGCAGCAAAGTTTATCTATAACCCAGTTAAAGAGCTGGGTGACATTAGTTCCAAAAGAACAAAGATCTCAAACTTGTATAACATATTTAGACTTCTAAAAAGGGTAAGATGTTTTATGGTTTTTTCCTTCCCCAGATTTTAGCACATTTTTCATATATTACTAAGTAACAATGATAAAATTTGACTAATCAGACTTATAAAAATCTACTTATTTAATCTTATCTTTTTATTATTATTTTACAGCTGATATGGGCTTTGCCCGATTATTTAATTCACCTTTGAAGCCTTTAGCAGATTTGGATCCGGTGGTTGTAACATTCTGGTACCGAGCCCCAGAACTACTGCTTGGAGCAAGACATTATACCAAAGCTATTGGTGAGTAAAACCAATTAAAATTCCGTGACTTTTAAGGTTTCTGTAAATAATACTTACTTTATATTTTTACATCAAGTAATATAATAAATTATAAAAGAGCAAAAACTCACTTAGAATTTCACTACCTAGTAATATATAGTCATTAGCATAGCACAACTGTAGATATAAACATATTCACAAATTTTTTAATAAATTTGATAATACTGTCCAATCTGTTTTAAGTAGTTTACATTTAATTTTATTTATAAAGAAAAATAGTGTAGTATACTTTTGAAGTCCTTAAACTTCCGATAAATGTTTCTTTCACCAAAAGAAATGCTAACTTGTAAAAGATTTCTCTAGTATTAAAGAAAAAAGCTTATTTAAAAAAAACTTAGCTGTTTAGGACCTTTTAATCCCCTTCTCCATTATTGATGATATTGATTTACCTCCCTTTTATAAAAAGAATTAGGAAATCACTATTTATGGGTTTTTTTTGGCAGAACCGGGGATTGAACTCAGGCCCTTGCGCTTGCCAGGGAAGCGTTTATTCTACTGAGCTATCTCCCTAGCCCCTTTATGCATTTCTTCACCCACCAACTTTTCAGTTTGTAAACTGGTAGTCATGTCATCATCACCATCACTTTGTCAGTATTTATACTTTTTGTTTGCTAACCATAGTTCCCAGTTGTTTGTGCCTTAGTTATATATTATGAATGAAAAACTCATCTACTTCAGTATTTTTTCTTTGGTTATCCATTATTGACAGCTTTATACTGCTTCATTTTATTTGGTTAAAATTTCTCATCAGATAGTTTTTTCTTATGTCCTTTTCTTTTTTCTCTTATATGTGTTTATGGCTTCTTTAACTAACTCGTTCTGTATTCTCCAAATGTCATGAAATTGTGTTTCTTTTATTCACTAACTCCATCTTGGACTCTTCTATTCTTACATGATTGTTCTCCAGGTCTACTATACCATCTCATTAAGACATTTCCCCATTTTAGTTTCCTGGGTTGCATCTCTTTCTGGATCCCTTGACTTTATCTCTTATTTTACTATAGTATATTCTTAAGTAACTTCCTTTACATGATATTATAGATAAGAATTTTCCAACTCTGAAGAATTCTTTTATCACACCTGATAGGAAGGTTTTTAATTATAGGTTCTAAATTGTATTCCTTCTGAACTTTGATACTTGGTCTTCTAGCATACATGTAGCTAATGAGGTCTCACGTCAGTCTTGTTTTCAGTCACTGCTAGGTACCTAGGGGGTGGGATTCCTTTCTGAAAACAAAGAATTTCTCATTTTCACATTTCACAGTTATTTGCTGGGCACAGTCTGAAGTTCCTGTCCTGTGTTTTTGAAAGATTTTCTTGTGTGGTCTTCTGATTTCCTCCTGAATGTTTTCTACTCTTCCTAAACTCAGTGTGGTCAGGTATTGCACTTCTCGAGTTGATCCTTTATACTGGTTTTTGTTTTTTTTTTGTTGTTGTTGTTTTGTTTTTTCTCATAGTTTCTTTCTCTTTTCTAGGAATTCTTTGTTTCTAATCTTTACTTTTCCATGATATCTTATATTGTCTTATGAGAGGGAAAAGCTTCTCATATATCTATGAGTACAACACTTCTTTGTTTGTAATTTGTATATACCCCGAATAATCATCTTTTTTCCTTGTAGATACTCTTTTTCACTTGCATGTCTTGATCTCTCCCTTCCATGTGGCAAGTATTCTTCAACTGTTTAGTGAGCTTCAACTTCTCTATTTAAGAATCACTTTACAGAAAGCCACTTGGCATTTTGTACACTTTATGGGACTGATATAGATTGGTGAATACACGATGGCAACAGGTCACTGTTTTCTGGAGAAACCCTAAATACCAGGATGTATAAGCCTATGATCTGAGGCCATTCTAAATCTTCAAGGAAGAATTGCCTCAACTTTTAGCCTATACTCAGTACCAGCCCAGGGCAGTGGTAGTGAGTGGGAAGAATATCTATTGATTAAAAGATTGACTTTACAACTAGTATTACCCAGTACAAAACCTTTTCAGAGCTGTATAGGATGAATGTACTTTCCACGGAACAGCGGTACTATGGACTGAGACTTTCTCTGAATTGTTTCATTGCCTTCCATCGTCTAGAAATGTTTTTATGGGGCCGGGGAGATGGCTCAGTGGAATAAGCGTTTCCCTGGCAAGCGCAAGGGCCTGAGTTCAATCCCCGGTTCCACCAAAAAAAAAAAAGAAATGTTTTTATGTATCTGCCTAGAACAGATCCTTCACATAGCCAGGTTCTACTTGTAATCATAATACCTTGCTACAAAGAATTTCCTCAATCACAATATCAAGTAAACCTCTTCTCCCCTTATACTTCCACCTTATTGTCTACATTACCTTGAACATATCCAGAATCCACCAAAACAGGTAGATCTCATCGTCCTGTTCACTACTGGAAACCAGTGCCCCCCGGTGTGCAGTGAGAACTCTTTCCTCTTTTAAATAAGTGAATGATTCTTGTCCCTCACAGTCTCTTCCTATCCTTTTGTTACTGGGATTTACACTGTTAGGACTCTCCTATCATTTTAATGTAGCTTCTAGAGTAGGAAAGGATAAATATTTGTGGTCACTGACTGTGTAAAACTTTAGTCCAACATGTCTTTCAAAATATTTATGTTCACTGATCTTCATTCCTGCTTTGAGATCACATTTTATTTTATAGAAAAATACATGGGTGAGTCAGTTAGATATGTTTTCTGTACTGTCTTTGCAACTCTTCTGTATATCTAAAATTACTCCAACCTGGGCCTGCTGTGCCAGCCCTGCTCCAGGGGTGCGCTGAGATGGCAATTGAGACTAGGCGTGGTGGCACATGCCTGTAATCCCAGCTCTTGGGAGGCTGTAAACAGGCAGATTACTATGAATCTGATCTAGTAGTAAGACTCTGAACACCCTATAAACCCTTCCCTAAAATACAAAAAAAAAAAAAGTCCAAAATATATTTATCTTTTTAAAAACTAGCTTGAAAGAAAAGTAAAAATTACTTAAGCTAGTCCTGTGTTTTAATACATGCTATTTCCCAAATTTGTTTCACCTAGGAAATGAATATTCCAAAGCATTGTTACTTTTTGTAAGACATTAACAGACTGTATAAATGAGGAATGAATACTGATCTCCACTTCATTTCACTGAACTTTTGAGACTTTGAATTGAGTAAAAAATACAATATCACAAAATTGTGGCTCTAGCTCATTGTCTTGTTTTTCCTAAGAAATTAATTAAATTTATTTATTTGGGGGAACATTTTGAAAATTCATATAACTTATTTTTTAGGTCATTATTTAGTCCATAAGCTTTAGTGCAGGCTGTGTGCCACAAATAAAACTACCAGTGATTAGAAAGATTGATTCCCTTGTTCCATAGCTGTATAACTAGGAAGAGAGAAGCCTGTTTTCGTGTTTATCTCCCTCCTCTTGCTCATCACCAACCTCAAAATGTAGGGAATTATTATGAAAACATTTTAAAATTCAGGAGAAACCAACATGAATGCAAATTCTGAGCCTTACCCTTAAGTTTATAACATACATGAGAAGATAATATCAATAGATGTATAAAAGGACTTTGCCCTCTTTGAACAGTGGAAGTAGCAAAGATCATGTGAGTTTAATTTTAGCTCTGTCATGCTAGAGACTGGGTTTACATATGTATTTAGTCCTTTAGTCTTACTTTCTGAAAATGAGAATTTACCTGAAGTCACCTTTTAGATCTCCTTCAGTTCTAAGAGTTCTGTGGCTTTAGATAGAAATAACTGCCTTCTGTGTAGGAGAGCAATCACAGAAGGAGCCGACATAGCTGCAAATGCTAAAAACCAATGTCAGTGCCATTTCTTCAGCAATGGTGGTCTCTATCCTTGACCCCATGCATCTGATTTGGCCAGGATCAATCTTAGAGAACACTTTTATTCTATCGAAACATTGACTCAAAAAGTTATAATGTAGAACCAGGCATGGTGGTACACAATTATAAGTACTCCTCAGCCTCAGGAGGCTGAGGCAGGATTGTTTGAGGCCCACTTGGGTTACATACACAGAAAGACCCTGGTCTCAAAAAGCAAAACTAAACAAAAGTTATGATATAGTTATCTGGCTGGTTTTTGTTTGAGAGAAACCATACAGGTGCCATTTTTTAATATATGCTTTAAAAAATAAGATATAAAATAAATCTTACATTTCAGCCTTGACTACATGCTCCCATTCTTCCTGTTAACTGTAAGGATAGCCTAAATGTTTGCTCAATGCAGCACACAGCAGATTCCTTACACCATTCTTAAAGTTTCCCATCAAGAATGTTCTTAGCATGTTTACTTACTTGTCTGGTAGTTATGGTGTGAAGAACCTTGTAGTTGAATGGACATATAATTTGCTGAATACATTCATATATTTATTTTAAAACCAACATTTAAAACCGTTAAATCTGTTAGAATTCACTGGGTATATTAAACTTAGGGCTACTAAGAAGGAGCAAAAACACAGAAAAAAAATCTGATCTGGACCCATCAAACTAATATTTTTCTACCCTCCACTCCAAACAAATGTGGGGTGTAGTTATTTACATAGTTTTACAGACTACAAGCTGAATCATTAAACCAGAGAGAAAGAGGAAAAGAAGAGAAGAGAAGCTAGTAAACATAATCCTGGGGACAAATTTTAATTAATTATTAAAAATATTAAGTGTATTTTTAATTATTTAATTGACTCTGAGAAGAGGGCTGTAAGAGTTATAGTCAGTCTGTAATTAATTATCACCAAACAGTATTAAATTTTAAGTTCATCCTTAAATAGCTACACACACACACACTGTCAGGTGGCTTTCTGTTAAGAGAAAAGTATACAGTAAGACAAGGAGATGAGAACTTGTTTTTTATTAAGATAAAACTTGGCTGTATGCACCTATGGATTAAAATATTTGGCAAAATTTTCCCTCTCAATTTAGCATGTTCCAGTTACTAGCTACTTTGTTGGAGTAGCTATATATGCGCATCACACACCTTGAGATGTGGATAGGCTTTACATGTTCTTAACTTGGAAATTCTTCCTGAAAGGGGTTAAGCAGAGAAGTAAGCTGGAGAGAAAATATGAAAAATATATATAACTTAGAAAAGAGAGACTTGCAAAAATTTAGAAACTTCTCAGAAATAAAAGCCTAACCAACTATCTTCACTCACAATTCATGACTAGTGTCCAGATAAGGACTTTGAAGAGAAGGGCAGTGAAACTAATACAGATCAGAGAAAATAGAAGAGACAAAGGAAGAGCTATTTGGGGCATGGTAAAGCAGGACTCCATAAACTACTTTTTCCTACTTACCCTGACTTGTTATTTTAAAACCAATAGAGTTTTTATGATGGCTAAACAGTTTTTCTCTCATCTTTCTTTATATAATTAATTTTATTCTTGGGAATTTTTAATAGGTAAACAAATTGTTACCGTGTCTTCATGTTCCATGAGAATTTTAAACATGCAGAATGATCCATCATTCCTGTTCGTGATCCTGCTTCAGTTGCTTGCTTATGTGGAATTAAGAGTATGAGAGATCAGATTTATATGGCATAGCCATATGGAAAAATGGTGTCATTTCAGAAAATCACTTATTTTTGGTCAGAGTGTGACTCTTATGTATAGATAACTAACTTGCTATTCTGAAAAATGATAATTTTATATTACATTAAATGTCTTTAAATTTTGAAGTTTAGGAATTATCATTTATAAACTTGTTTCACATTTCTTATATTATAGTTACTAATATTCCTGAGTAACCATCTTCAACAAAATAATTTTCTTTCTTTGTTTGACATGATAGTTATTGATGTTTGCCACAGGTATTTAGATTAGTTAGAAACTACTTATTGAGCATCTTCTGTTTGCACAACCTTGTACTCAGTGTAGGGAAAATAACATTTTTAATGTAAGGTATTAAGAGTAGAAATATGTTTTCAGCTTTAGATTCTAAATTGATCTGTAATTGTTCCCTGTATAACGATTCTCTTGAACACGAATTTAATATTAATGAAAATTAACTGACATCTTGTCAATTAAGGTAATTGACTTTATTGCAGACAGAAAAAATACATTTACCAACTATTGTAAATAATCTTAATAATTTAAAGCCTTCATACACGTATTAAAGGTAGTAAGTGGGCTTTATATGTTTAATATATTTATATGATCTTGTCCTACATACTAAATGATTAAATTTTAAAAAGTGGACACTCCTACACCGTAAAAAAGCACATTAAAAGAAAATCTGTCCAAGTAGAAATACTGTTTTATCAGAATTTTTGAGGTCAAGCGTTGCTTTTTACTCATTAGATGGTTCCTTGCTAATTAGTGGCAGCAAGAGAAGATAATTTTTAGAATTTGCAAGTAAGTAAGACAAAATCACCATAAAATTTTGTGCTGATTGTTTTTGGCAAGGGCCCAAATTCAAAGGTTGTTTGTATTTTCTGTTTGCTTTTTTGTTTAGTTTGCTTGTGGTTCCCATGTTCCATATACAGCTTTTAGTGTTTGAGGCATTAAAATACACCAAAAACCCAGCTACTAAGTTTTAGTAGTCTGAGAATAAAGCTACTGGGTGAGATAGAGTTTAATAGAGAATAAAAAAATTGGGTAGTAGGGTGCAAATATATATATTTATAGTATTCTGATATTTAGTAATTATAATTGCTTCTGATTAATATGACTTATTAGGGAAAAAAGAAAGAAAAACACTCCCCACCAAATTAAAAATGCATTTTCTTTTGGAAAGAACCACTTTATTTTCCTCCTTTCTTTTTCTTTTTTCCTTTTTTCTGTTTCTTTTTTTCTTTTTTTCTTTTTATTTTAAAGATATTTGGGCTATAGGGTGTATATTTGCAGAACTACTAACGTCAGAACCAATATTTCACTGTCGACAAGAGGACATCAAAACTAGTAATCCTTATCACCATGACCAGCTGGACAGAATATTCAATGTAATGGGATTTCCTGCAGGTACACATTATGATTTTGTTTTCATTTTAAAATCACTGTTGTCTGAACTTAAATATCTTATTAGAAAGGTGTGTGCTTTTGGCTGATTAAAGCTACTCTTTATTTGATTTCTTCATTTTTATGACTTGGCATTTATCAAAAATTCATAGCAGTAGTCAGCAAAATTTGTAGAATTCACATGTCAGCATGAAAATATTTCTGGGTTTCCTGAATTTGAAAATTTTGTTTCATTTTGTTTGCTTTCTTGTTTTGTTGTTTGGTGTTTAAAGTGATACAAATTTTATAATATCTGTATTAAAAAGATACCTGTTGTTCTGACCAATAGGAGCTATAAAATCAGTAGTGGAATTTTTTTTTTTTTTTCTGGCGCTCATTTAATACTCTTACTACCTGACAATCGAATACCAACTTTGAATATTATTCCTATATAGGGCACTGTGCCAAATCACATTATTGACTAATAGCATTTTTGCTTTCTAACCCTTGTCAATAAGTCTATTTTTTAGTAGTCTTAGGCCAACAAAAATGTGGGTGAAAGTCATAGTACTCCATGATGAGTTAGCCCACTGCTTTCCAACAGGAGAAAATTTATAGATGTTTCATCCCTGGTATTACATGTCTTCACCTGTATCCCAGTTTTTAGATATACCACAGCATGCCAATTCATCACTTAGTCAAAACTGGTTAGAGGTCCAGAATGATAAAAATTTGTTTGGAACACCCAAATAATTCTAGCTAGTGAGATACTTAATAGAAGTTATATCTTATTGGGAATATTTCTCAGATCACTAAAACTCAAGACTGATACAGAATGGGAGTTTTTATTCCATATTATTTTGTATGGGTATAATTATGAGTAAATGTACAATACCTACATGGATATTACTATAATAGTTTTTAGAGGACCACTTTGTTGTGACTGGATTTTCATTTGTTCACTAAGAGTTTATTGAGTACCTCCCATGTCAGACACTGTCTTGAATAAAAAGTATTGCCACAATATTGGTAATATGATTCTTACCCTCTTCAAGTTTACATTGTACTGCTGTAAGTAAATATTTAAACAGTAGATTATTTGAGTAGATTGAGAGGAATGGCCTTTTATTGCTGTTTCTGAATATATCCACTATTTCTGAGGCCCACAGGGATAGGAACATGAGAGCGTTGTTCAGTGGTTAAGGTGACCTCAGTTTATAATAAACTCTGGGAAAAGCAAGTGGCAAAATTTATATCTGATACATTGCAGAGTGAGAATCCGTAAGTTCTCGAGTGCTAGAGGTGTGACTTATGTTCTGTTCCACAAAGATTAGCATGGCAGTGGTATGTGAAAATCAGTTAAAGAAGTAGCTGAAACCAGGAAACCAGCTGCTGGCTATAGAAGTACGACAGTCGTAAAATGTCAGTAAAGATGGAGAATGAAGGACACATTTATAATTTTAGGAGGCCATGCTTAGTTGAGAGATGACTAAAAGCTTAACTCAAGATTTCTACCTTGAGAAATTGGCAAAATAAAGAAATTGGAACAGGGAAATTGTCAGGGAAAAAATTCTGTTTAGGAGCTTAAGTTATGTGATGTCTATAGATGATAGGTAGCAGATGTTTTAACAGTTCAAAATCTAGCAAACCTCTTGAGGAACTTCAAAGCTAGAGGTTCTGTTAAGCTACTGGTACAACACTGTGTACCTAGTAGGCTGTCAGTAACAGCCCCCTGACAATGGTAGAAGAAAGTTAGCTAACCTATAATGTTCAACTAAGTCTAGAGCCAGAAAAACTGAGACATTTTTGTACTTAATGTATTTCTTAGCTTCAGTTATGTTGAATAATAAGAGGAACTAACAGCTGATTTATACTGATTATATCCCACCCATTCTACTACAGTTATTACTACTTACCTTGATCACTAATGTCAAGAAATTATTTAATAAGATGAAAGAGTGGCCATATCGTAAAGAGAAGTATTGTCTTAAAGCCAATGTGGGAAAAGATCTTGGATTTCTCATTACAGACACTAATTATTAATTTAACCAAGAAATTTGATGGAAAAGGGAATATAAGTGGTTTTACTAATATAAATAGGACTAACAATAGTTACTTATAACTTATCCCCTTCTAGTGATATAATTAAAGCAGCTTATAGGAAACCACAGAGAAAATAAGCACTTTAAAATTAAAAAGATAGTGATATATAAAGCTACAAAGAGATTACAGAGTATATTTACAGTTCAAGATGTTTGCTGTAGCAGAGCATTTGTTTTGCAGTCTGGACTTTTATAAAGGTTTAAAAGTTAGAAAACCTAATGAAGTGGAAGTAATAGTTATTTAAATTCTTGAGAATAGGAATTTAGGAACATAAAAATTTATCAATGTATTTCACAGATAAAGATTGGGAAGATATAAAAAAGATGCCTGAACATTCAACATTAATGAAAGATTTCAGAAGAAATACGTAAGTTGCAAAGAAAATAGACCCTTTGCTGATTTTGACATTTGAGAATATTCAGTATAAAATTGAATGTTCAAAATAATGGGATACTAAACATAAGGCTACTAAGTAATTTTATTTACTCTTAATAAATATTTTATGATGTCAGTCATTTTTAATGCTGCTAAAGTGATGATATAGAGAGTAGGTGAATAATATTAACAACTGATTTAAATATGAGAAAAAATCAATTCATGTCTTTCCATATTTATAACTTTCTGGAAACTACACGTTCGTGGGAAGTACCACAGCTGGAGAAGTAAAACTAACAGACCTTGGTGATTGTGTAGTAATTTTATCCAAATTTAGTAAGAGAAAAATTAAGATTTATTTATGTTGTAAGGCAAGGGATTAGTGTAGTCCAGTTTAAAAACTGATAAAAAATGTATTTTAAATTTTATGGTAAGATTGAGTTTGACTTTTTGCCTAGGTGTTACTTAAAACAATTGTTAAGATATAATTCATGTAAGAAAACATTCAGTGTACGTTAATCATCAAATTATGTTGCATTTAGTCATCAGTATCCAGTTAAACTTGAGTAAGTAGTGAATGAAATATAAAACTGACTTGTTACTTTTTATGATCATCACACCAAATGTGTGTGTGTGTGTGTGTGTGTGTGTGTGTGTGTGTGTGTGTAATATATGTATAAAGTGATTGTGCCAGTTATCAAAATAATTCTTTTGGAAGGACCGTACCCCAATATCAAGTTAATTTCTAAGCTAACAGATATTTCATAGTATTTCTTTTTCAGGTATACCAACTGCAGCCTTATCAAGTATATGGAAAAACATAAAGTTAAACCAGATAGTAAAGCATTCCATTTGGTAAGCTTTGATAACATTACTAATGAAATGCATATCCTCCCCCATTGAGTAGTCCAAACTAAAGCTTTGTTGAATCATTTTTTTTATGGTTACTCAACACTTGTCAAATACTTCAGTAGTAAATGCAGAGACCTGTTGGTGCATGAAAATACTTGTTTTACCAAACTGGTATCATAGTTTGACAGACTAATGTTTGATAATTTTAGCTTTTCTAAAGGTAGTAAGAGTGTGAAAAATAGAATATTTATCAATGTGTAATGGAGAAATGTCCTAGAATTTAAATGAATCCATGTTGTGGCGAGGTAACTTATATGTTCAGTTACTGCCAACCTAAATTTATTTGCAATAAAATTTCCAATACTACATTATTATAATTAAAAATGTTTTTCAGTTTTCTATTTTCAAAAAAAGGTTTATAATGTAAAAAGAGAGTTTGCAAAGCAAGTTGTATTTTACCTGGCTTAAAATTATTTTGGTCCTTGTTCCCATCTATTCTTGGAGCTTCTTTTACCTTGAAAGAGTTAAACTTTCCTTTATAGTAATCAAACTACTTGTCAAACATTTCTGCTGCAGCTTCTGCTGTACTTCTTCTCTTGCTTCTACTTCCAAATCTTGCACTTGTTAATATACCATGTCAGATGTATATTATGTGTATCATTATCTATGAGCAGTTTAAAAAGCAGTGCTTAACCTGGCATGTTATCACACAATGTATTGTTCATATAATGATTTATTCTAATGTACTTACAACAGGCCCCAAATTGGGAAATTAATCATTCAAAATTATGGACTTATTTTAACAAAATAATGACAATAGTTGACTAGAAGTCATTTTTAAGTCAGTGGTGGCAAACCCATGAGACATGGGTTTTTTTTAGGACAAAAGATGTTTATGAATTTTTTTTTTTCCCTAAACTAAAACCTAGTGCTGACATTTGTGATAAGTGGGTTTTGGATTACAGTTTGAACATCCATCTGCAAAAGATTTGCCGTCACTGACTTAGGGGAATTCCTCTACTTTTCTCAAGTTCCTGCCACTCTTCATAGTCTAAAATGACTCACTATCATCATCACTGAAACCTCAGAGATACTTTCTGTTTATTTGCTGTATTTACTGAGATGTCCTGGCTTAATTGTTGGTGATCATGGTGGTCCCCTCTGAAAACTTCATTAGAATCTCATTGTGTGCAGTTTTCATTTTTAAAATATTTGCCATTGGCATGTCCAGGCTCTCTCACCTTTGACCCCCAAAATAAAAATGGGCATTAATTAAAATACTAGTTCATTAAATTTGAATCTCACCATACTGGCATTTTATCTGCATTTTAAAATATCTTATGTTCTGTTGTTCTGTAAATTGTGTCATTTTCCATTAGTGCATTGGTTTTTGAGCTGTGGTCTCAGTTCAACAGCAGAGGCATCACCTTGCAGTTTGCTGGATTTCCAAGTTTTTGGACTTTTGCCCGGATTTACCAATCAGAAACTGGGAACCGGGACCCAGCAGTCTGCTGGTGGTTCTGCTGTATCCCAGGTGATTCTGCTGCATACTAAAAGTGCTTAGTGCCTGCTATCTGAAAACACTGTAGTGAGTCAAAGACTATAAATTATAACTAAGAGACCATAATTTAGATATTATGTATTAGAACCAAGCTTTCTAAATTCATAGAGCCTTAAATTAGCTGTGTTTTAACTAGCAAGTATTCAGTCGTCATTATTAGAGTGGCATTTATCAAGCAGTAATATATTAAATCATACACAAGCTGATCAAAATATATGATGTTTAAATTTTCTAAATTTGTTTTCATGAAAGACATATTTGATATTAATTCCCTCAGAATGCTTTCCATAGTTCTAATATTGCTCCTTATGCTTGCCACTTTCTTAAACAGTTCTGGGAGTCCACTTCTCATAGGTATCTTTACGAGGTATTATCAAAAACACAGTGAGTACTGGTGTCAATGCCATGCGACAGAAAAGCAGGCTTATAAAAACACTGCGTGTGTCCTCTCCATCCTACTCACTCACTGGCTCTGCTGCTGTGCAACTTCTGACTCCTCCCCGAAGTCAAAATAACCATAAAAAGTAAACATTTTTAATCAATTCAGAATATTGAGGCAGCCACAGCAGTGCAACTAAAGATACTCACAAAAGAGAATTTCTACAATTTCTAAATTTAGTAGTTTAGGAACTGGCTAAATTAAGGGATAAGTGTATTTAACATGAAGAGGAATATTTTGGAATGGTCTTTGCTGTAGTAATTTTTAATTAAACACTTTGTATTTTTTTAATATGTCTCGAATGATGTATACTTGTATCAGGCACCATTATAGTTACTTTCTGTATATTCATTTAATCTTGAAAACAGAACTGCGATATACTAGGTGCTATTTTTAATCTCCATTTGGCAAATAGGATTACATAGAGGTTAAGTGACTTGCCCAACATTATTCCACTAATAGGATTATTTGAACCTAGAATTTGAACTAAACAGTTTACTTCTAGTCTTTACAAGTTGCTTATTGATACATTATTTGGACTAGTGCAGCACTGTACAGCAAAACTTTTTGTGATGATCTTCACTACCTACTAGGTACTCACTCACCATGTGTGTGGGTTTTCAGTACTTTAAATGTACCTGGTCTGCTTAAAATTTAATGCACTTTTGCTGCATTTGGGTCTAAATCTTAATAACCATGCGTGGCTAGTGTATCATTTCTCATTTTCCTAGAACGAGATTAGAAAATGTAAGAAATTTATTCTTGTTCTACATTGAGTAGTTTTGATGATGAGGGGCCAAGATAATTGTTTTAGAGTCAGAATCAAGTGAGATAATAATGATTATCAAAATTATAATGTAAATTATTACATCTAATTTGATAGGATTTATCAGTGTTGTTAACTTGGAAGAATAAATACCATCTATATTGTAGTATTAAGTACTACACACCAGAACACTTATCACTTCTACATCTACTGACAGGTAATGATGACAAATAATGCATTAATATTTTTATGATTTATGGTTTTAGCTTCAAAAATTGCTTACCATGGACCCAATAAAGCGGATTACCTCAGAACAGGCTATGCAGGATCCCTATTTCTTAGAAGACCCACTTCCTACATCAGAGTAAGTGATCAGTTTATTAACTTAGCAACACAATACTGTTTTGGGAGCATTCTGTCTGTAGTTATCAGCTCTTAAATTGCTACTACTCTTAGATGGGGTCCCAAGGAAGTCTTTATAATAAGCAAAAATTGAGCTCTGCTAATTTAAGTTGTCACTTAAGGGCTTAAAAGATAAGCATTCCTCTTCACCTCCATGAAATGTTGGGCACATATGTTTCAGCATTAATCGAGTTATTGGCTGACAGGTTGATTATTTGTGCTGTGTCTCCTTCGGATTCACTGAGTTTACTTATTGCCTGCAAGTTAGTTTTGTGTTCCAAAATTGCAAATAACATTCCAAAAAAAATTGTGTGTTTCTATTACTACCTTCTATTTTAAATGCAGAGGGGAATATTAGTAAAATAAAAGTTAGCTTTAAACAGTGACACATTCCAGTTGCAAGCTTTATCTTGATTTATCATACTAAGAGAGTAATACTAGGATGAAAGAAGAGAGTTGAGTCATACTAGATGATTGTTGATTATTTTTATACAATAAAAGGCCATCAGTAAACCTGCTAAAATGTCATTTATTAAGATTCATTCCATCACAGTTGTTAAAAGGTGTTTATCTTTGAAAATAATAAAAATGACATCTATTTTAGAAGATTAAAATAAAAGCCACCTAAATAAAACATTTGAAATATTGATTAAAGGGCTGGCCAGATAGCTCAGCAGACTGAAGTGCCTGCTTAGGCAGAGCACAGGAGTCGGGGTTCGATCCCCGGTGTGCCTTGCCAGTGCCGCGCCCCCCCCCCCCCCCCCCCGCGCGCAGGGTGCTCTAAGAAGGCAGTTGAGCCTGGGTGTGATAGCATGTGCCTATAATTCCAGTGCTTGGGAAGCTAAAAACAGGAGAATCACTACAAGTCCAATCTGTGTAGTAAGACCTGAAGACCCTGTAGACCTTATCTTAAATACATAAAAAAATAATAAATTTTTAAACATATTGTTGAAATATTGATTAGTGTTCTATTCATTTTTCTTGCAATCAGCGTTTTTGCCGGTTGTCAGATCCCTTACCCAAAACGAGAATTTTTAACAGAAGAAGAACCTGATGACAAAGGAGACAAAGTAAGTATTAAAGTATGGTTGGCAACATCTTGTTCATGATGACCTCCATAATATTTTCAGTATGGTGATACTTTGTTCTCCTTTTGAGTTGAATTTTTTCTTTCTGTTTACCCAATTGAGAAGAACCAGCAGCAACAGCAGGGCAATAACCACACTAATGGAACTGGCCACCCAGGGAACCAAGACAGCAGTCACACACAGGGACCCCCATTGAAAAAAGTGAGAGTTGTTCCTCCTACCACTACCTCAGGTGGACTAATCATGACCTCAGACTATCAGGTATTTCAAGTTTGTTTTGTATTTACCTGCTATGTCACTGTTTGTAGAGTGGCTTGTGAACATTGAATAAATGAAATGTATATGATTGAGAAACGCTGACCCTTGAGTGACGAGAAGAATACACTGGTATATAAAAGTAGTGGCAGTGGTATAGTAGGGAGAGGTAAGACTTCTGAGCCAGTCAGACTTGGGATAATAAGTTCATATTATCCCATTTATTAACTTAGAGACCTGAAACAAGAAATAGAACTTAAGTTTTTTCATCTGTAAAATACAACTTCACTTGAAGATGTTGTCACATTAGATATGATGTATCTTGGCAGCATTAGTTTATAGTAAGTGATTCAGATACTCTTAGAGTGTCATCATTTACAGAATATGAAAAATGGTAAATGTGAGGTTGTCCTAAGACTTAAATGAGATGATATATTCTAAAGCACAGAAGCTAAAGCAATTAATAGATGATACCAATTATTTTTATTTTCATCATTAAAATTCTTCTTTCTTTTTTTTGGTGGAACTGGGGATTGGACTCAGGCCCTTGCGCTTGCCAGGGAAGCACTTATTCCGCTGAGCCATCTCCCCGGCCATCATCATTAAAATTCTTAATGATATTTGTAGTATATAGTACACTTCTTAACTGATAGTGATGATTCTATAATAATAACATCTTAATGAGTATTTACTTTTTGCCAACTATTATACTAAATATGAAATGTCTGTAGTTTCTTTTCATCATTATAACTCAGGGAATGAGTATCATGGCCATTTTAAACTGAGGCTGACAGAGGTTAAATGACTTATGCAGGGTCACCCAGTGAGCCAGTAAATCTGGGACTCAGAAACAAATTTGACCACAGAAGCTGCTCCCTATACTATGTATGGGTCCTATTATCTGTCACTGTCACTTCCTTTGTGGATATACCTTTTGCATCTGTGTATTCTCATCATTTTCCAACTGAAGTGGGTTTCAGTGTGGGAAGGATACGAGAAACCTGGCCAATAAATAATTTACCTTCAAAAAGAGAAACCTATCTTATGAATACTTACTTACTATTACCATCCTTATGTAATTAAATACTAGCTTTGTGCTTTGGTTAAAGGAGTGGTCCTGCCCACCACATCACAGAACTCTGCCTGAATCATGACTCACCTTCCAGTTAGCTAAACAACAAACTCAGAGACATTATGGGAGTTTGTGTTTGCTTCAGCATCTTTTTCTTATCATCTAGTAGGGAAGAGTGCACCTCTTGGCTCAAGAGGACATTGCACCCTATAGAGGACAGTACATGTAGATGAGGCAGAGTAGTAGCATTCTGACCTTTCTTCTGAAACTAAGACAGTGATCCTAGCTTCTTGTTTGGTGCTATTGCTGTTTGTTTTGGGAAGTGATTTCAGAAGAACTATTTCTAAGTACAGTTTTACATGTCCTCCACTCTTTTTTACATATTATTTTTATATGATTGGCAGAATTTAGAATTTTATAGCATTAACTATGTTTTGAAAGAGAAATAATAAATTGTGGTTAATCTCAAATAGTGTCTTGAAAGCTAATAATACAAAAGAGGTTAAGGAAAAGAAATAATAATATGAAAGATCAAAATTAGAGTACTCTGTATCACTGTTCTTTGCTTTTTTTGCTACTATTATTTTTTTACTTTTCTGTATAAACTTGTAGGAGAAAATAAGATTAAATAGTTTAAGGGACATCAAAATATTTTAATCTCAATGGAATTGAGTCTACTTTCTTGTAATACTCATTTTCTTCAGTTATTTAGGAGGGACTCTGTCAAAGAAATGTAAATTAGCTTTGATTTTCTTAGTTTATGTATCATTAAACTTAAGTATAAGTCTCTCAACTAAATTAATCCTTATCAAGAAGATATAATGGAGCATAAAATAGGGGTTAATTCTATACAAAAGTTTTCATAGCATGATAAGGCATAGCTTTGTGTTTTTTAAGTGCTACTTCTGACTTTACTAAAGAAAAGATAATGTTAGGGGATTTCGGTTTTTATGTGTGTAGGTGCTTATTTGCTTGTTTTTGTCATGTCTAATTCTAAAGCTATTATCTAATGTAAGTTGACATACCTTACTTCCTTGAAACATAAGGCCACTTCAGTCCCACGTCAGCCTTACTACTTGGGGCCTGGCTACTCCATGAAGCACCTGAGTCATATTTCTCCCTCATCTCCTTTCCAGCGTTCCAATCCACATGCTGCCTATCCCAACCCTGGACCAAGCACATCACAGCCCCAGAGCAGCATGGGATACTCAGCTACCTCCCAGCAGCCTCCACAGTACTCACATCAGACACATCGGTACTGAGCTGCATCGGAATCTTGTCAATGCACTGTTGCTAATGCTGCAGGGCTGACTGTACAGCTCTCCGCAGGAACCTGGTATGGGCCATGAGAATGTACTGTACAACCACATCTTCAAAATGTCCAGTAGCCAAGTTCCACCACTTTTCACAGATTGGGGTAGTGGCTTCCAAGTTGTACCTATTTTGGAGTTAGACTTGAAAAGAAAGTGCTAGCACAGTTTGTGTTGTGGATTTGCTACTTCCATAGTTTACTTGACATGGTTCAGACTGACCAATGCATTTTTTTCAGTGACAGTCTGTAGCAGTTGAAGCTGTGAAATGTGCTAGGGGCAAGCATTTGTTGTTGTATGTGGTGACTTTTTTCAGTGTAACAACATTATCTGACCAATAGTACACACAGACACAAAGTTTAACTGGTACTTGAAAAAAAACATAAACAAAAACAAAAACAAACAAAAAAAACAGTATATGTTAACTCAACAAAATAACCAAGACTCAAAATGAGATTATTTTGGTACAACTTTCTTTTTAGTGTCTTATCAATGGGTTGATTCATTTTCTCCATTAATCAGTGTTTTTGACCATGAATATTGCTTGGATCCTTTTGAAAGTACAGAAAGCCACAGTTTTTCCAGAAAGGTTTCAAAACTCCCAAAGATTAATTTCCAACTTATAAGTTTTTTATTTTCAATCTATGACTTGACTGGTATTAAAGCTGCTATTTGATAGTAATTAAATATGTTGTCATTGAGAGAAACCTGTTTGGTTCAGCAAACAAACTAAAATGAATGTCATAGACAGTGTTTTATTTTTCCTGTTGGTGTTGCTGATTTGTGAGCATGCTTTAAGATTTAAAAAGCATGAATGATAACTTCCTTTAGAAGGTGCGGCATCCAATTCAGATATTTTGTCCTGAGTTTAACGTTGGTTGGTGTAGTGCTATTAAAATTTTGTTCAGTTAATTTTCTTTTTACAAACTTGTTCGCACGTTGTTTAGGGTGCCCTTACTTCAGCAAAGGAGAAGGAGTAGGAGAGCCTTAGAATTTTTGAGGAAAAAAAAACCTATAACATACAATGTACTGTATCAAACTATTTTACATGAATGACACAAGTATTCTGAATTAAAAAAAGTTGAACATTGTTAAAAACAAGGTGTTATGTAATAAATTTATTTTTCATAAGTCAAAATATGGAGTCATCTGTATTTTTTATATGCACAAAGGGCTTTTTTGTTTTAGTTTTAAAATGTGCCTTAACAAGATGCCTCTGGATAAATCTCTGCTTTTATTAATATCTAAGTGTTCTACAGTGGAGTAATGAATTACATATAGACTCTGCTACAATTAGTACAGTCTGAGGAATGTGTTTTAGAAAAAAACAGTTGTCAGGCCTCTCAAGCTGATCTAAAGATTAAGCCAATTTAATTGACTTAAGAGATAAGAATGTTTTACCACCATCCCATCTCCTTTTCCTATTTGAGTTTCCAAAAGCAAAAGCCATTACAAGTTCTATTCTAAATGTCAGTGTCCAGGGGTTGAGCTGAATTCTTGGGTTTCCTTATTTCTTTATCATGTCCATTCCCTGAGAGATCCTATCCAAACTTGTGGTGTTAAGCATAGTGATGGTGCTAGTAACTTCTCATGTCCAGTCTACTTTATGCTTGAGCTCCAGGTTCCATCTGTAGCAGATGATACCCACATGTCACTCCTGCTAGCATTCTCTATCCTGTTCCCCACCTGAAGTTTTCTACATAGCATTTATCACCCGGATGATGATATCTGTTTGTTGGCTCGAGCTTCCTGAGAGTAGACTTCACCTCTGGGCCACGTTTGTTCCCTAGATGAAGCCACTCAGACATGTGACTTATTAGGCTAGTGGTTCCTAGATTTCCAGGGTAAATACTGTCCTGTCTGACTTACTACTAGTTATGTTCTATACTGAATGTACTCACACTCAAAATGGCAACCCCATCCTCTTCCTCATCCAGACATGCTCAGATCTGTGAGTGGGCACCTACCCTTCTTGTAATCCAGGCCAAGTAGCAGCCTTGGCACCATCATTTCTAACATACTCTAATCCTTTCAGAAGTTAACCACACAAGTTTTCTCTTTAAGATATATAGTTCCCAGTTTGATAGCTTGGCATTATTATGTAAAAATGAACTTTTCAATAGAAATTCATGATTAAGGGCCAGCTAGATAACCCAGCAGATTAAAGTGCCTACTTAGGCAGAGTCAGGGACTGGGGTTCAATCCTTGGTCTGCTGTGCTGGCCCTGCCCCCAGGGCATGCTGAGATGGGGACTGAGACTGGGCATGGTGGCACACGCCTGTAATCCCAATGCTTGGGAGGCTGAAAATGGGAGGAGCACTGTGACTCCAATCTGTATAGTGAGACCCTGTACTAAATAATAATAATTCTTTTAAAAGAAACTCATGCTTAGAATTTTGAATTTGCATTTCTTCCTTGAGCTAGTAGTACACTGGCCTAGCCTGACCTGCCTGGATGTTAGGCAGTAGCAATATCTCCCAATCATCACCACATTCACAAGAGGATACAACACTACCCTGCAGTGTGCTGTGTTGCTAAGTGAGAATGTAGGTTAGGTGTATTTAATAGATGCTCAACATGACGTCTTCAATTTACTATGGGTTTATCTGGCATAATCCCATTGTACAAAGCATCTGTGTCCCAGATCAGTCTGTCTTTGTCGCCTTAACTGCATCACTCTTTGCCAAGCCACAGTCACTTCTTCCTAGACTGCTCCAGTGATTTGCCTGCTTCTGTTCTTTTTCCCACCTTCCCCACTCCATCCTTTCCCCTCTCCCCCTCCCCCCACTGTCTTTAACAGCATTTCAACACTGAGGTCATGTCACTCCCGTGCTCACATCCCTTAAATACATCTCATTCAGTAAAAAGCCAAATCTTGACTGAACCCGACAAATCTGTGCATGTTCTGGCATTTCTTACACTGCCATCTTCTGTTGCTGTCCTCTCCATCTGCTTCTCCCTAGCTTCACCATTCCTTGCTATACCTTCCTGATCCCTGACAAACACAGCTGATCTCAGGTTTTTATGCGTACTGTTCCATCTGTCTTCTCCCCACATTATGGTTCCTGGCTTACTCTTACTTCCTTTAAATCTGGTAAATCTTATCTCCCAGACCACACTGCTTTGCCTGTTTTGCTTTCTTATTCAGCACTTAGCATCGGTTAGGAGTATACTCATTGATTGTTTTTCTTCCCCCACTAGAAGAGAAACCCCAGGAGTGCTATCTTCATTTACTATGAGACTCTTGGCAACAGGTTGGGCCTAACTGTAATCTCATAAATAGTTAGTGAGACAGTAGGGGAGAGAAAGGAACGAAATCCCAGGGACCTTCCTAGTTTCCTTTAGTTCAAAATGATCAGCTTACTGAAATGCTGCTTTGCAGTAACCTTTTCTGAACCTCAACACTGCCTTAATAAATTACCACAAACTAGTAGAAATTTAAAATGGCAAAGAGAAGAGTGGCAGCAAAATACATTATCTTTAGGGTGTAGAAAACAACTTGTTGAAGAAAAAAAGATCTCTAGAAATTGAGAGGGAACTGACAGGAAAACAAAGCTTCTCTCTTTCATAGAGAAGTTGGAGAAGTAGAATACAATATGGAAAAGAATGAAGTAGCCTGGACCAGAAAAATCAGTGGACCAGACCTAAACTACAAAAACTGGTTTTACTCAAAAAGTGACTCCACGTTGGCAGATAGACCTAAGAGAAATTCAGTGGCGGGCCCACCAAATTTTAGAATATTTAATCAGGAGCCATTTTGGAATGGGATCGTGTAAGATTGCAGAGCAGCAGTACTTTGGGTTTCTGAGGTCACCCTACCTTGGCAACTAGGTAGGAGATGACTATAAGAGACAGAGAGTGGGCAAGTGATAGACCTCTTTGGGAAGTTTTAATCTCAGGCTGGGAACAACACAAGGGTTGCATTTTATGTGGTGAGAAGCCAGCCTAGTTGTATTTGGCTTTCTACGGGACCTAGTTCTGAAAGTGCTGGCATGAAGCCCAGCAAACTGCTTGACCTCCTAACGCACTACCTGCAACCAACAGAGAGCTCAGTGGTTTTATTGTTTTCTCCATTTGCCATTATGATCTGAGATATTGCTTGGCTTGGACAGTTGCCACAGGCTGGGGTGTATGGACAATGGCTTCTAGAATATAGGGAATACCTCACAAAGCCACAGGCTTTAAAACTAGAGAAAGGCACAGTGTCGAGCACATAAAGTGTCTCAGAAATGGAGCAGCTGGAATGAATACAGCCCTAGAATGACCAAGCACACCAGAGGAAAAGCAGGATTCAGTATTCATGCACATATTGTGAGAGTGCAAACGAAACAGGTCTTAGTAGTGACTACTATCCCTCACCATATCTGGTGGATTCCAGTGTGGCATACCTTTGAAATAAACCATTTGTTCAAATATAAGAATATTTTTTTACTCATCATTTTATTCATAGTTTTTTGGGAAGTGAGGGCTCTTTTCTCTCTGCTTTAATCCTCTTTTGTTGTTCTTTTGTTGTTTTTGGTTTGCTTTGCTTTTTTTTTTAATCTTATTTTTTATGAGTACAAAATAGTACCAGATAAAATAAAATAAATTAGAAATGACACAGAATTTCACTAAACAAAATAATATGAATTTGACAGTATTCGTTGTATTGCATAGTGTCGTCTTCAAATTAGTTGTTCAGATGACCAGATATATGCATGCAAAGTTTGAAAAAGAAAAAAAGTCATATTAAGCTTTGATATTTAATTTGGCTACTGTTGGCTATTTGACTATTAATTGGTTATTTTTTAATTCATTTCTATTAATGGTTTAATTGTTGCAATAGATAAATTACTGTGTAACTATTTGATTTGTCTTTGTGTCTGTACTATAATTACAGAATTAGGGACAGAATGTACAATTTTTATGATATTATCAATACCCAGTATGTCTTTCACTGTTGTTGCTGCTTTCATTGATCTTGCCCAAATGGCTTAGTTGTTGTTACTGTCTTTACTGTATGTCAATATCTGGTTTGTGTTTGTATCATCTACAACACTGTGGTTCATTTCTGGAGAATGGGGTGCTGGACTAATTTCATTGCACCCTGCCCTTCCTGAATTAAGAGAGGCAGTTGCATCTTGGAACAAAGGTAAAGGCCTATAGGTTACCATACCTTGAGCACATCAGTCCATCACTAAAGTGATCTCCATACTAGCAACAGTGTTTCCACTATAATTGACATGCAATCCTGAAAGTACTTGTACATACAGACACACACAACCCAACAGAAATATGAGAAAATGAGATAATGAAATGCCTCCAGAAACACCCAGGTTCCCAAATCCAAAGCCAAACAACTGAATTATGCAAAATGAGACACCCCAACCAAAATAACGATCGACTTCTCAGTATGTTTAAAGAAAATATAATGAAACAGATAATAGACTTAATAAGTAAAATGTTTAATGACCTTTCAGGGGTATAAATAAAAAGCTAGCTGAGCTAAATCAATGATCACAGAACAAGAGTAACTGGTTTAGCAAAGTATTAGAGTCCATGAAAATGTACCAAACAAATAACAGGCAATTAGAAATTCTATTGAATGTATAGGCAGCAGAAGTGAGCAGTGTGACAACAGAATATCAGTATAGACAGACATGGCTGATGCAAGTGATTGTGTCTTCAAAGAGATCTTTAAATTGATTTGAATTAGTGAACAATCAGAAAACAATATGAATGGTATAAAAACCCTGTTTATAGAAGTAATAGCAGAAAATTTACCAAGTATAGGGAAAGAATTCAACACTCAGGTAAGTGAGACATGTAGAACTCTATCCATAATCAAGAAAGAAGTTACCTATAATGTATCATAGTGAAAACCTCGTAGGTCCAGCAAAAGGACAGAATTTTTAAAGCTGGAGAATACCAACAAATCACTTATGAAGGTAAACCCATTAGAATTACAGCAGACTCCTCAACACAAACCAAAGGCAACAGGAATGCAATGAAAAATATTTCAAGCCCTAAAAGAAAACACCTTCCAGTCCATACTAGAAAATCAATGCAAAATCATCTTCCAAAACCAATGGAGAAATAACGTCTTTCCATGACAAAGTGGGGCGATGGCTCAGTGGAATAAGGCCTGAATTC